CAAAACCCACAGATGCTGAAACACCATCATAGTACACTTCTCTGGGGAGCCAAGATGATTGTATATCCTTTTCTCCAGAAAGCAGTCAAAGAATTTACTATAGGCACCTAGATGCTCTGCCCTGTTTGGAGCCACTGTCAGTTTCAGGCACAATCCTTATGTATTTCTTGATCCCCTAAATGGCAGTTACACTGCTAGGTTTGTGTCAGGAATTGGGTTTGCTCTCAGCTGCTAAGGAGATATATGTTTGTGGGGTTTTGTTTGCTCTTGGCTTTTCAGCCAATCAAGAGCAGAGGAAGTATACGGAAAAAAAAAATACAATCAGAGATGTAGGCGCTTTTGGCCGGACACGGTGACTCACACCTGTAATCCCAGCATTTTGGGAGGCTGAGGCGGGCAGATAACTTGAGGTCAGGAGTTCGAGACCAGCCTTGCCAACATGGTGAAACCTCGTCTTTATGAAATATACAAAAATCAGCCAGCTGTGATGGTGAATGCCTGTAATCCCAGCTACTCAGGAGGCTGAGGCAGGAGAATAGCTTGAGGGAGGCAGAGGTTGCAGTGAGCTGAAATCGCGCCATGGCACTCCAGCCTGGGTGACAGAGACTTCATCTCAAAAAAAAAAAAAAGCAGAGCGAGAGATAGGTATTTTTTGCCTATCAGAGATATGCCACTAAGAGTATCAAGATAAGTTAATGAACTGTGGAAGATAGGGGAGGAGGTGATGAATTCAGACGGAATACGATTCATTTGCATCTGTTACAGGACATCCCTGGTGGCTAGGTCAGCTATATTTGTCCCCATGCTGAAAAAATGTGTGCCTCTTGGTGCGATTGTTATATTTAGATAATTAAGACTTGCTACCTTTCAAAATATTTTAATCTATTTTTTATTTCATAGCATCCAAATGTCATTATAATATCATAATGAAGAGAAGATTTTTAAGGATAGGTCAAAATCACACAGATTGAATTCAAGAGCAGAAAACATTCAGCAGAGACTGGAAATCAATGATTCTAACCCCACTCTACCTTTTTAATTATGACAAAGACATTTCATAAAATTTCTCTGCATTAAAAGCTACTGCTTAGAACACTTATTCTGTGCTGGATACTGTAGTAGGCATGTATTAACTCATATAAAAAATTTCTAGAATATTCTATTTTTATACCATTTTATAGATTTAAAAAATTGATGCTTAGAATGTTTAAGAAATTTGACCAGGACTCCCAAGCACTGCCCGGTGTTGCTATGAGCAACTGGCAAAGGCACCAACTTTGCAGAGGGAGGCTTGGAAAACACTACCAAAATATACTCAAATCTTAAGACACAATAAGCAGATGGATATCATTAGAACTGCCTATGCTGTCTAATCTGGCTTATTCCCTGATGGATTTCTCTGATGAATGAGGGATGTGCTTTCTTTAGAGAGCCAGATGTAAGTTAGGCAAGCTGTAGGAAATCTTGGCTTGTTCAGATTTTCCAGGCCTGTCCATTGACCTGGCAATCTTGTAAAAATAGATACAGACACATGATTTCACTTTTTCCATATCTGAGTCCAGTTCCAACCAAGGAGTTCAAATTTTTGTGCTTAGGAGAACATCATGGAAATAAGCCAAATGAACTGTGATACTCCCAGCTTGCACTGTTGGTCCTACTCGAATTTATGCAGCACTGCTCCTCTGAGATTTTGTTTTCTCTTCCTTGAGATATGCAGAAAAATATCCATAGTAATGAAGTAAGTAGAATATACACTAAGGGTCTTGGTCCATTCTTTTCTCAACCACAGTGGAGAGAGAAGAAATGACCCTAAGGCTCCAGAAAAGCTCCCCACTGGGGACACTAATCAGTCCAGAGGCACATCATTTACTTTCCTTGTGTTCTGGTCAGTCAGGAGTATGAGAAACCACCTTTGCAAAATTGTGACTGAGACAGTGAAAGAGATCTAACCTGACTCCATCTTGGTTGTAACCTTTAAGCTGTCTTTGTTCCTTCCTGGGTGTAGACTGAAGTAACTTTGGGAGGAACTTAGTTTATAGTTTAAAACAAAGACAACAGTCCTTTCCCAAAACAAAGCTCCTTCTTGCCTGGGGACTTGACGGCCTTTGTAGGACAGCCTACAAGATTAGAAATTGTGGTTTAGGAGTCATGCAGCTGGAGCCTACAAAATTCCAACCCTCACTAAACTGTTCCTCAAATCAGAGCTTATTTTGCAAACCCTGCAGTTGATGGATCAGCTGACACCACCAGCTTGATAAACTCGCTCATCTGGACTTATGGTGCCAACCCAAGAACTGACTCAGCCCAAGAGGACATGATTTCATCTGCTACATAACCAATCAGCACTCCTGGCTCACCAGCTTCCTCTCACCCACGAAGTTGTCTTTAACAAGTCTGATCCCCAATGCTCCAATGCTTGGGGAAACTGATTTGAGTAATAATAAAACTCCAGTCTCCCAAAAAGCTGGCTTTGTGTGAATTACTCTTTCTCTATTGCAATTCTCCTGTCTTGATAAATTGGCTCTGTTTAGGCAGTGAGCAAGGTGAACCCACTGGTTGGTTACACACACACAGATGCCAAGTATCTAAAAATCCAAACTCCCTATGGTTTTGGTCACAAGATCCTCCACCTACTTTCCCCCACCATTTCCATGCTCTCTTGTTTCATTGCTATCTACTTAAATCCACAGCATTTACAAAAAAGTGGCTCTCTCTTCACAAGTGTGTGGCATTCAAGGAAAGTTCTCTATTACTTATTTGTGATTTTTATAAATGAAATAAATGCGTTTTCATTGGTGTATATTGCTATTCCAGAAATGCCTGCCATGTGAAGGGGCAATGTATACATTTATATATGTAGATATGTATAATATACATTTATTATCTTTATAAGATATATTAAAAGTCACATGCTTCAATCTTTTTGAAACCTCATATTTATGAAGCATATAATTTATGACAAAATCACTTTCTAATACTGAATTCAAGTTGGTAAAAACCTGTAGTGAAACAACGTGGTGATGAGATTTGAAAACCTCAAAAAACATTTTTTTATTTCTAAATATTTTTAGAGCAGCATTTCTCTTGAAATAAAATATTCATTTTTAAAACAAGTATCTATTAATTTAACAAATATTTATTGAGTGTTTGGTATGTGGCTTGTCCACCTACCACCTGCCAGGCAGGATGCTGTGTAATAGAAGTACAATGACAAAAAGGCAACCCCTGCCCTCATGGAGTTTAGAGTCCAAAGAATGCTGTCATGTGGCAGATCAGAATCAAAGAACCACACTGATAAATACATTATAAGCTAATAAAGACTATGAAAAATGTCCAACGATCACTAATAATTCAAACCATTTAAATGTAAATAATTTTCACAATAAAGTATACTAGGGTGCGTATAAATTGATGGTAAGTATCCAACTGGTTATTCAACAATTCCATTTAGATGTCTAATCAGCATCTAAACTTCAGTCAGTGTGTCAAACCAAGCTTCTTTCCTCCTATCCTTTTTATCTTTTTATTTTTATTTTTATTTTTTTTTTTAGAGACAGAGTTTCACTTTGTCACCCATGCTGGAGGGCAGTGGTATGATCATAGCTCATTGCAACCTCAAACTCCTGGGCTCAAGGAATCTTCCCACCTCAGAGGCATAAGTCCCAGCTACTCAGCCAAACTAATTTTGTGGCTTTTTGTAGAGACAGGGTCTTGCTATGTTGCCCAGGCTGGTCTCAATCTCCTGAACTCAAGGAATCCTCCCTCCTTGGCCTCCCAAAGTGTTAGGATTACAGGTACAAGCCATCACCTCCTGTCTCCTCCTGTCCAATTTTATCTTTTCAGTTGGTTAGGGCAAACTTAGTATCATCTTCACTTCTCCTTTTCCTTCAATCCTTATATCCAATCCTTTAGCAAATCTGTGGCTCTCTCTTCAAAATACATGCAGAATCTGACCACCTCCCACTACCACCATTGATATCACTGAGGTCTGGATTATCAGAACATTAATGGTGTTACATCTTGCCTGGATTTTTGCAATAACCTCCTAAATGGCTTGCTTCCTTGCTTGCTTCTACATATTCCGTCTTCACAGCCTGTTCCCAAAGTAGCTGATGCAGTGAGCCTGCTAAAAGTCAAGTCAGAGTGTATTACTCCTCTGCCAAAGATGTTCCCACCTCCCTCCCTTCCACCTCCCATTAAATTCAGAGTACAGTGACCTGCGTGTTCCTATACAAGGCCTATTCCATTCTGACTTTACCTCTTGCTCCTCTGTCTCTCACTCCCACTACGCTACCATCCTGGCCTCCTTGCTGGTCCAGGGACTTGCCAAGTACATTCCTGCCTCCAGGCCTTTGCTGCCGCTGTTCTACTTGCCTGGAATAGCCTGAGATATGCTTGGCTCACTCCCTCCTCACCCAAATGACCCCTTTTTAATGACGTTCGCCCTACATTTAATGGGATGACCTCTTTCCACCCTCACTGCCCAGCTCTCTGATTCCTCTTAATTTGCTCTCCTTTTCCTTTTTCGCCTGGCACTTGGCACCTGTTATCATGTATGTAATTTTATATAAAATTATATTGTTTCTTTGTCCCTTTCTCCCACTAGAATCTAAGCTTCATAAGGGCAGGAAACTTTGTCTTCATTCACCAATGTATCTTAGGCGCTTAGAACAGCTCTTGATATATATTATGTGCTCAATAAATATTTTGCAAATAGATGAATGAAAGTTGGCAGGCAGTGTAGTGGAGTGGAAGAGTGCAGGCTTTGAGTAGGCAAACCTGAGTTCAAATACTTGCTCTTGAGTCCGGTGAACTTAGGTGAGTTACTGCTACTCTTAAGCCTCAGTTTCCCCAATGTAAAAATGTAAACAGTAGTGTCATTGTGAGAATTACATGTGAAGCACCTGGTGTGGCACAGGCTCTGTAGGTGTAGTTATTACCAATATCACAATATTTTATGTGAAATAGTTTAAAAAATGCTACATTTTTCAAAGAATATTCTAGAAATCACAAATATAGTTTTAATATTTAAAAATTATTTCTCACTTTGCCACCCCAGCTACTACCCAAAATGTTAAAGCTCATTCACAGCATCTGTTCTTCTGGATTCTTCTGTGGGAACTTCAGCAGTTCAGTTAGTTACAAGAATAGAAAGCACCCACAGCTGAAACACACAATTCTCTAATAGCGGGAGCTATTAACATCATGAACTCCTAAGGACAACAAGATGGTCTCATTAATAATAGTCAAAATTAGAAGAATAAAGAAGACAGGCCCATTTCTTGGGGCAAATAGTATAATTTTGGCAGATGACAGAAAACAGAGCAAAACATTCCATTTTGCTTTAGACCAAGAATGGCAGAACAAACATCAGTGAGAGGATATAGAAGCATCTGATGTGTGAGCTTGTAGAGAAAGGGATGCTTCTCTGAACCATGTTACTCCCACAAATTAAAGTGGTAGACACCCAGGGAAACTTCTCTTGCATCTTGAAGCCACCTTTAATTACTTTTGAGAAGTGAATTGAGGCTGGGAGCAGTGACTCATGCCTGTAAGTCCAGCAATTTGGGAGGTAATTTGGTGGATCACTTGTATCCAGGAGTTCAAGACCAGCCTGGACAACATGATGAAACCCCCATATCTACTAAAAATACAAAAATTAGTTGGGCATGGTGGCATGCGTCTGTAATCCCACCTACTCAAGAGGTTGGATCATGAGAATTGCTTGAATTGGGGAGGTAGAGGTTGCAGTAAACTGATATTTCACCACTGTACTCCAGCCTGGGCAACAGAGCAAGACTCTGCCTTAAAAAAAAAAGGAAACGAATTGAGATATATTTGCTGAGAGACAGATAATAGTTGGACAGCTATCATTAAAATTTTTAAAATAAATTGCACATGCTATAGGTTGGCTTTAAAACATATGTTAAAACCACTCAGAGGGGATAACAGAAACCCATGTAATCCATAAAGTCCAAGTTTATTCATTCATTCAAAAGTCACTTACTTACTACCATGTACCAAGCACTCAGTAGATGCCTTTTGAATGAAAAAAAAAAAAAAATCTGCGCCCTCATGAAAATAACTGTATTCTTTTTTGGTAGCTAGTACATAAAGGCAATGCCATAGCCGGAGTATAGCTGAATCTCCGATAGCATTTGACAAAGGCTTTTGAAAGACAGTAATAAAGTGGGTATCTTCAGAACTGACTGAATGACAGCTCCCTGGCCAGTGCATGACACAACTTGTAGGAGACTCTTCTGGCTTATTTATAGATCAGTGGTACACAGAGTGAGCCAAGGAGGTGACTTTTGTCTGATATTGAATTGGTCTATCCTCTCATAGTTATAAAGAAAGACCTGAGATTGGGTAATTGATAAAGAAAAGAGGTTTAATTGGCTCATGGTTCTGCAGGCTGTAGAGAAAGCATGTCGCTGGCATCTGTTTAGCTTCTGGGGAGTCCTCCAGAAAATGACAATCATGGCATAAGGCAAAGGGGAAGCAGGCACTTCACATGGCCAGAGCAGGAAGAAGAGAGAGACGGGGAGCAGTGCTATACAGTTTTATACAAAGAGTGATAAGCGATAAGTGGGTTATCTCGTAATAACTCACTCACTCACTACCAAGAGAACAGCACCAGGAGGATGGAGCCAAACCATTCGTGAAAGACCACCCCCATGATCCAATCACCCCCACCAGCCCTACCTTCATCACTGGGGATTACAATTCCACAGGAGACTTGGGCGGGGACATAGATCCAAGCCATGTCAGCTATGTAAGAGAAGTCCTATTCAGAGAGGATCCAGAGGCCATTCCATTCAGTGGAGGTCCCGTCGCCTGGAGTATTGAATTCGGTTCCTGGAACCACAATTGAGATGAAAAGGAGTACTGTTAAGTTTAAGACAAGGACAAGATGCTGGGATGGAGTTCAGAGAGGGTCCTAGGAAGAGAAGATGAAAAGAAAACCCCAGGTCCTTGCCCCGAGAGAAAAGAAGATTTGGGGATTCCGTAATGGCTGCCTCTGTCTTAGAAAATGTGCTGCAGGGTGGGGTGGAATGGGAGGAAATGGCTGGGCAGTTATTGAACATCTCTGAGTCAGGAGCTCCTTGAGTGTACTATCTCATTTAATCCTTATATTTAGGTTTTTTTGTTTTGTTTTGTTTTTGAGATGGGGGTCTCACTCTTTCACCCAGGCTGGAGTGCAGTGGTGTGATCTTCACTTATCGCAACCTCCGCCTCCCAGGTTCAAGCAATTCTCCTGCCTCAGCCTCTAAGTAGCTGGGATTACAGGCATGTGCCACGACGACCAGCTGATTTATTTATTTTCTTTTTTTTTTTTGAGACAGAGTTTCGCTCTTGTTGCCCAGGCTGACATGCAATGGCACTATCTCGGCTCACTGCAACCTCTGCCTCCTAGGTTCAAGCGATCCTCCTGCCTCGGCCTCCTGAGTAGCTGGGATACAGGCATGCATCACCACACCTGGCTGATTTTCATATTTTTAGCAGAGACAGGGTTTCGCCATGTTGGCCAGGCTGGTCTTGAACTTCTGACCACAGGGGATCCACCAGCCTCAGCCTCCCAAAGTGCTGGGATTACAGGCATGAGCCACCATGTCTGGCCATATTTAGCTTTTTAATGTGTGGTCTCTGATGCATGCAAACACAAAACATCTCTTTTCGAAGTATGCCAGAAACACTGATGGACATCTCTGCTATGTGGCCAGTCTCATCTTCCCAGGGCTCTGAATGACCACTTTTGTATAATTAATTTTTCTTGTTTGTAAAAGTTCTGAGCAGTTAAGGTCAGAGATGATTCAGAAGAGAAAAAACAAATAAGCACTCTATTCTTAAGAGCAAAAGTTTAACTAAGAGGCAGAGGTAGAGAGAAACTGCTCCCTGACGTCACAGAGGACTTTGTCATCTGAAAGGACACACAGAGTGTAGCCTAAAATGTCACTCGTAGCTACCCAATCTCATATAAACGTATACTGATCACATAGTACAAGCCTGTGCAAAGGACATGAGAGCTGATTTCATAAATTTCAAAATGTCTGGTTCACTTTGGAAGTGAGAAAAATTGGTATGCCTATGTGGGAAAGTCAGCTCAATTACTCCAGTTCAGTAAACATTTCTGAATCGGGCTCTTATTCCTTTAAAAACCATGCTTACCTACAAATTAGTTTTGGTTTATAGAGGCCCTCCTTAATAGCAATGTTCGTGAAGAAAGGAATCCTTTCAGAGAGACCTCAGAAAATATGTAAAAAGGTTCTTTGAAAGCTATCACATGTTGAAACTGACTTTTAATGAGTTTCTGCCAGCTGCAGTGAGCAATTTAAGTAGATTCAATGACTTTTCTTTAATTTTAGTATTTAATCGTTCATTTTTCCTAATTATTCTTAAATAAATATTCTGAGCTTTCTGGTGTTCCCTTTACAAAGAAACTGTCAGTGTAAGAGGCAGAATTCTTTTTGCCTGGTAACTTTTTAAAACAGATTCTGCACATCTGAAGTATAAATGCTAAAGAGAGCCATAGATAAAGCCGTAAGAAAACAGACCAAGAAAAAAAAGATGTCAAAAATGTCACTTTTATTAAACAGCTGTTTTAAATATCATGTTTGGTTCCTCAAGGGTGAATGTAGTGATAAATAATAGAAAAAGAGTAAAAACAAACAAAATATACCATGACAGAGTAGAAAGGCACTGTGTTTTACTGAAGAAATCACTGCCCAGATTACCCTGTTTTGGGGGCGGCTGGAAATGGAGAATCACATTCCCAAAGCGATGGATCCCAGGATCCCAGTCATGTGTTCTTTTTTTTTTTTCCTTTTGAGATGGAGTTTTGCTCTTGTTGCCCAAGCTGGAGTGCAATGGTATGATCTCGGTTCACTGCACCCTCTGCCTCCTGGGTTCAAGCAATTCTCCTGCCTCAGCCTCCTGAGTAGCCAGGATTACAGGCATGCACCAGCATGCCCAGCTAATTTTGTATTTTTGGTAGAGACGGAGTTTCTCCATGTTGATTTAGTAGAGATGGGGTTTCTCCATGTTGGTCTTGAACTCGCGACCTCAAGTGATCCGCCCGTCTCGGCCTCCCAAAGTGCTGGGATTGCAGGTGTGAGCCACCGCGCCTGGCCTCCAGTCATGGATGATCCAACTGTTCCTCCTCCAGCTCTCAAACTGGAATCAAGTAAATCCCTAACTTCCTCGAGGCTGCTCTTTGCTAATGCTGGCTTTTATTAAATATTTATTATATGCCAGGCATGGTACTAAGCACTTTAAGTTCAAGATTGGACTTAGTCCTCACCGTAGTCTGTGGAAGTGTATATTATTTTTATTCCCATTTTACAAAGACAAAGACTAAGGCTTAGAAATTCTGCCTAAGCCTGGTAAGTGGTGACTCAGTCCCAGAGCCCTAGTTCTTCACCGATACACCAAAATGTTTTTCTCTGCCAAAGTGCTTCCACCGAGGCCAGGTCCATGGATGCCTGAACTCAGTTAGTAATATTCTAAAGAAAAAGAAAGTCCCAGGTAAGAAATGAGTCAGTGGGCTCTACAATGTCTGTCCACTAAACCAGAGGAAACCCCTGCCAGCGGTAATCATAAGCCACAGGTGTAAAATCAGATCTTCCAGCACATTCCCCCACAGCCAGAGCCGCAGTCTCAGCCTGGCAGAAGAGCTCCAGGCTGGCCGAGGAAGCACTGAAAGAGAGAAGAATCTTGCAGTTTTCTGTTATTTCCATTTGTATTTTTTTCCGATTTCTGGGCTTTGTAAATCTGCCAGAAAAGCCTGAGAACAGCCTTAGGGCCCCTTTTGGCAGCACCCCTAGGAGTTGTTAGCCAAAAGCTCCAAACTCCTATGCTCATCACTGAGACTTGTCTGTTGGGAGTAGCTTAAAGATATTGTTTCAACCAAGATAATTAGTTTAGCAAAAGAGAGCCATTGTGGTTTAGAGAGCTCACCCTTGATTACTAGGTCACGATAAGGGTTGTTCTCGGCTTTTCTCCCTCGTGAGACCTTAGATAGTAGAGTATTTTCGACCTTGTGCAATAGATATCCTCCTTTCCATTGACAATAATTTGGACAGGAAGGGGAGGGAGGCAGGAAGCAGTGAATATCCATTGTACCAATTTTCAGCACTCGAATTTACACCATCAGCGTTCACATAAACCACAGGCATTTACCCTTCTGTGGAGTCAGCAGGAAACTGTGACATGCCTAAGGCAAGCTATGGCCCTCTTGGAATGCACAGAGAATTTTTTGTCCAAGTAATTTTATGACAAAAACTAGCCAAACCAATAAAGTTCGTTTCTAAGATATTTTTCTCCTTTCTTACCCTTAGGCATTCCATGCATAATCATTGCAGGCAATTTAGAAAATGCAGGTAAACAAAAAGAACACAAGAAAATTAAAACCACTCGAAATGCCACTATGCAAAGGTTATTATCATTAATAATTTTGTACAGATTTTTCCAAACTTGTTCTGTTCAAATACAAACAAACAAAAGTCACCTCTTTTTAAAAATAAAATTGGATCACATTCTACCTATGGCTTTGTGACTTGCTTTTTACTTAACAACATATCGAATACAATTTTTCATATAAAAATAGAACTTTCTCTTATTTTACTGCTCTATCAA